CTTTCGGGTCTTCCTGTTTTTTCTTCCCTGGCAGTACTTGGACTATATTTCCAACTTACCACCATGGATCTTCTAAACTGGTGCTCAGCCGAGTGACTACCTCTTATGAAACTGTTTCGGATGTGGTCCCTTCTGCTAAACCCACACGTCCATCTGAGCATTCGCATTTCTATCGAGTTCAACTGTTGCCGGTGTCCTTTCAGGATAACCGAGCATTCTGCTCCGTACCTAAACACACTTTAATTCTATAAAGTTTAATATATTGCAAGTGCTTAAGCCTCCTAGCAAAGTCCTCTGTCAAACATGTACACATTTTAATTTCTGACACCGGATCTACTTTGTATAAGCGCGTACTCTCTTGTTTTTAGTCGGGTACGGGGACCATTTAAACATGCCAAGGTTCAGTGATATTTAAGCATTCATTGTATTGGATACACAACCGCATGTCTGAGTTGGGCTGAACAAGGACGCGTTCGAGCTTCAAAGAGATTACACTGTGGTAACCGTGCTTTATTTTTTTAAACAAGATATATGACTGGTTGTGCCTTAGAGTATCTAGTTTCATATTTCGTATTTCCTTGCCACAGAGTGACGTTTGCAACCTCCCTAGGAAGGGTGAAAGGTCATTCACCCGCCAAGGATTCAGATCGGGATCTTTCTACCGTATGCGCCACTTGGTTACATTAACTAAAAAAGTCTGATTTACTAACCGGATAGTTTATATAAACTTGTATCCCAGAGTCGATAATGAATAACCTTTCGGCCGTTAAACCCGATGTTCTACCAACTAATCTATCTAGTTCTGGAGCAGCAAATTGAGCAGCGGTGCTATTTAGACCAAACCTTATTGTATGATATATTTCGATGAATAATCGCTGTCGTGATTAAACACAACGATACGAATACTACGATCTATTATGGCTTCAAAGCCTGCTGGGCACTGTTCATTGTCTGTCCCCGATGGTACTCTCCCGAGACCTGTGCAGTTTAATGCCACATTTATAATATACAGATGAAAAGCACCGTCATACATCTTGGCATAGAGAGATAAAATCATAAAAGACCATACTGCTGATAAGGCAAGGCTGATATCTCATAACGAAGCGATTTTACTTCGGTTCAAATCCAGAATCAATTTGTCTGTTCCATAATTTTCAATCAAAAATGTCCATTAATAGATAAAACATCAATCAATAAATTTTCAAAGCCGCTCATGTGTCAGAATCAGGACAGTATTACGTTCGGGGCATTGCCAGAGGGTGAGTGGTTCGAATGTCGAAGATATCCATAATATACCGAATACGGCAGAAAATTTTGCCAAACCAACCTAAGTTTGCCTTGAGATCAGTGAGCAACATTCAGGGCATCACATCTGCTGGATTCCATTAAATGAATCCAAAATTCTCGACTGATATTTCTAAATCGTTTGCGGTAACGGCTCCGCTTCGATGCTTTTCTAGTCACTGAGCATCCTACTCCTTCAAAAAATGTATTCCGATTTGGCGCCTACTTCTGAAACTATACGAGGCAAAGAGGACAGTGGTTGCCATTTTAAGATACAGATATGTAATCACTATATAATGTGTATATATATACAGATATATGGGAAATTTTTTATGAACATAATGCGAAACTTTTGTCAAAGATTTCCGTTTTATTTCGACATGATTCCATTGTTGTGACTGTATATATTAGCAGATGTTTGTCCCTGCATTGTTTCCGACTTTCGGTGCTAAATGTCAGAAACAGCTTGCCCCACACTAACTGAAGAGCGACAGGTAGCTGCGATGCAAGATTTGCACTGACTTGCAACAATCGTTGTTATCTACAGTTTCCGTTCTGTTGAATAGGAAATACAACAGAAGGTGCTACTCGTAACAGAGATGGTGTTGCAATGGCAGTCGGTAGAAACGCAGAAGGAGCCCTTATGCACTGCATCGTGGTATCTGACCGAATCACTATGCCATGGCTCAAGTGCAGTTACAAAGGATTTGGCTTCACAGTAGCTGGTTGTTATGCCCCCCCTCCCCCCCCATCGAGGATGCGGCAGAGATAGTAAAGGAAGAATTTTATGTTATCCTGAGTCTTCTGCCACGGCAGCGCCGAATCCATTATATCCTTATTGTTAAAGATGATTTCAATGCGCAAGTTCGAGCAAACAATGACTTGCACAGACGCCCTAGCATCGCACGGTACTGGCGAGATGAATGATAACAGTACAACGACTAGCAGAACTGTGTGAGATGCACGGCTGACTTGTTGGCAGCAAATGGATCTTCACAGTTCAGTGCATAAGATTACATTACATTCCATGATACATTAACGGGAAACCAAACTGGCCATGTTCTCAGTATCAGCAGTGCAACAGGATGACTAGGTCTCACTGTGCATATATATGTTGCAATGTAGCAGCGACCATAAGCTTGTGATGATTAGATTCATAGTCAAGCCCCATCCTTGATTAATAGCCAAAAACCTGCAACAAAATTTAAAGTCAACAAACTTCAATGTTCAGTTGTGTCCCAAGCATATCAGCTGACGAATGGAAGATTCAAACTTCCTGTTGATTATAAAGGCGAAAAATCGGTGAAAAAAGCTCGCAGCATGCACAAAAACATGCAGTAATAACAACGGTAGAATAATTGGGACGAAAAAGAAAACGAAAAAAACATGGATAAGCTTGGAATCTAAACGGTTGCAAGAAAAGAACATGGTTACCAAAGCTGATAACAGACAAAATTTCAGAAGGAATGTTCAGAAACAAATCTTTAGGCAAAAATAAAACGATTTCTTGAAGAGGTTACGGTAAATAATAGATGATGCGATTCCGTAAATTATATGAAAACCTTACTGAGCAAAATCCTCTAATACTTCGACTAAACGAAGCCTCAAATAACGTGTTGTGAATGAGGACGGTAACATCACGTCAAATCCTACAGAAGTCATTGATATATGAGTTAAACATTGTGAATCGATACTTGACTATGGTGTGATTGAGAAACAAGATTCATTATATTATACCTGGATAAATGATGGATAATGATCCTGAACCTTTGAAGAATGGATTGAAGCCATAAGCTAACTGAAAAATGGCAGAGCTAAAGAAATTGATCAAATACTAGGGCCAATTAAGAAGTCTGGAATGAGCGAAGTGCAAGCACCAATGAATTTCTTTGGACTGGCATGGCAGAAAGAGGAGTCCTGAGTAACAGGCGAAAGATATTGTGGCTCCAATATTCAAGGATGGTTGTCGCTAAGATATAAATAACTACCATGGAATCAGCCTACATTCCGTTCCTCGAAAAGTCTTCCTGCGTATTATGATGAACAGGATTAGATTAGACATCTTCTTGAGACGATTTTGGATGCAGAGCTGTGGATTATTGAAAGGCAGTGGATGTTTGAACCAGAACTTCACAAAGAGACGGCTAATGAACAAGAAGAGAAAATGGGGCTCGAAGTTCCTTACAGAATCTCTTGATTTCACCAAATCATTTGACTCAAATCTGGGTAGATGTCATATGAAAAGTTGGTTAACAATACGGCATGTCAGCAAACATTATTCGCATAGTTAGTAAGACGTATAGTCCGCATATTGACGGCAGATTAAGCATATTTTTATCGTACAAAGTCTCGCGTAAGGCTTCGAGCGGGATCTACACTGCTCTTACCAATGTTTCTTGAATGGGTGCTCCAAGCAATATAAAATAATGAAACTAAGGTGGCAACAGTGAGCACCGTCTGCGTATACTTTCTTGCATCTC